AATTCTATTTAATTATAATTAATATAGCCACACGTGGCTAGTGACTACCTTATTGAACAGTCCAGCTTCAAATTCAGGGTCCTTTAACAACACTGTCTTCCTTTCATTTCAGCAAACGTTTGCTGAGTTGCAACTACACACCAGGCCCCATGCTTTTTCCTCTCTGTTAACAGTGGTATAACTACAATTTACTGAGCACCTACTAAGTGCCTTATATCTCTTATCCCATTTAAGCCTCACAGCAGCCTTACGAGGTAAGAATTATGATTAACACCAGTTTATAATAGGATATGGGCTCAGAGTGGGAAAGCAACTTGCCCAAACTCACACAGCTAGTAAAGACAGAGTCTAGATTTGAACCTAGGCCTTTCAAGCTCCCAAACCCACATCCATCCCATCACATCCTGCTGCCTCCCCACAAGATAGGCGAGCTCTCTCCTTATGATACAGCTGGGAATTAGGCAGGGCAGAAATGACCATTCCCATTTTTCAGGGGAAGAAACTAGGGCTCCAAGAGGCTGCGGAGTTGGGCCAAGTCACACAGCAGGTGAGCACTGATAGAGACACAGTCCTGGCCAGGATCCATGTGCCTGGACCCAGAGCTCTTTCCCCCATACCAGCATTTTTCAAATTTTATTAGCTGTGATCCAAATAAGAAATATATTTTATTTACTAGATGATATTCAAAATATTTAACACGCACTAAGTCAGTGACCAGTCAAACATGGACCATAGCTCTGCAACGGGACCCCCAGCCTGCCACGCATTGACTCCTAAGCTGCTGGACTGTGGGCCTGAAGGAGGAGCGGGGATCCTTCGGGGGACTGAGGAGGTGGCTTTTTACCAAGCGGTTACAGAAGTAGTTCAGAAGTAGTTCAATGTTTTCACAACCAGAAAAGCTGTCCCAGTGCCAGTACTGGCTGAATCTAAGCCCTACATTTTACACCATGACCCAACACGCACACAGACGCACGCCTGCTCACACGTAGAACTGAAACTGGAGTTTCACAAAGGGATTCTTACGCTTATTACATACAATACACTCTAGTATCTTCTTTTCTAGTCTATATTTTTTAAATGCTGGTCAAGACCCACTGAAGGATTCTATGACCCACAAATAGAAACCACAGTTTGCAAACATGCCCTGGAGCCGCCAAGTCTCTCACCTTAAATACTGGTCAATGAAGTCCTCGTAGTCAAGCAGCTCTTCCGGGGGTGGCACAGTGGGCATGGAGAACTGGTGCTGCACGGGGCTGGGCTGGATTTGCTGGAAGGAGGCCTGGCAGATGAAGATGGGCTTGCCATGTTGCACAGCCTTCACGGACCGCACTGAGAAGCTTGACCCTGTTCGCGTCCGCTCCACCTGGTACAGCACTGGCACCTTCGGGTCCCCTGCAGTGGACACAAGGGACACAGCCTGAGTGAGCCCCATGGGCCCTGACATGATCCGAGTGCCTGCACACAGTGCTCCATACCATTTCTGTTCAGTAGCTACTGACAGAGGCCCACTGAGCCCCAGGTACTAGGGATACAGAGAGAACACCAGGCCCTGTCCTCAAGCTGCTCCCAGTGGGGGTGGAGCTTCTCTCTAATAGCACAGAACAGCAGGGACACTGCCAGATTCCCTGCATTCAAATCCTGACACTGCCACTCACCAGCTGTGTGACCCTGGGAAAGTCACTTAACTTCTCTGAGCAATGTACTCATTTGTAAAATGGGGATCATCAGAATCCTCATACCATATAGGATTTTAGTGAGTTCCATGAAGTGGGAAGTGGGGGGGGGGCGAGAAAGAAAGGATTTTAATGAGAATCAAATGAGTTCATATTGCAAAGTATTTGGAATAATATTTGGCACATAGTCAGTGCTCTATAAGTGACTGTTAAATAAAATTAATATTTAGCAAGTTTTTGTCTTGCTACATGTGTGCTTGGGATCTTGTCTTGAGTCCCAAACCATTACTCTGGATAAGGGGTCAGCAAATATGGCCTGCCACCTACTTTTTCTTTATTGTCTTTTTTTTTTTTTTTAAAGAACAGATTTATTCATGGCTGCTATAGCAGGGAGTTGGCCACCATCATTTGCTTTTTTTTTTTTGGAAACTGACAGAATCTCACTCTGTCACCCAGGCTGGAGTGCATCATAGCTCACTACACCCTTGAATTCCTGGGCTCAAGCGATCCTCCCACCTCAGCCTCCCATTTAGCTAGGATTACAGGCATGCACAATAATGCCCTACTAATTTTTTTTTTTTAAGACACAGGGGAGTCTCACTATGTTGTCCAGGCTGGTCTCAAAATCCTGGCCTCAAGTGATCCTTCTGCCTCAGCCTCCCAAAGTGCTGGGATTACAGGTGTGAGCCACGGCACTTGGCCATTTGCTTTTGGCAGAGACTCAAAGGCAGGCATGGGAATGGAAAAGCTCTACAATGGAAAAAAAAAAGAAGGAAAAGGTTTCAGGTGTGCCTGATTGCAGGTAGTTGGCCAGGGGAAGCTGTAGGTGGGCTAACTAGAACTGGAAAATCCTATGTAATTGGTTAGGGGTACATATTTAGCTTTCTCTAGTTGGCCCTAAGCTGGAAGCAGGGGCAAAAATTAGGGAAGCTGTCAGTTATTAACCAAACCCTAGCTGTTTGGGGCTTATTGTTACCAGGGTAATTATTTGGCTTCCTGAAAGGGTTGCCGGAGATAGTGGTCTGACTTATAGATAGCAGGTAGGCTGGCTTCCTGTGCTGGGTGCTGCTAACTGTGGATCAGAGTTCTATTTTTATATATGGTCTGGCCATTATCTGTTTAGACATTCAGTCTCTCTCGGGAAAGGCTTGTCAATGAGTCATTTATCCCTGATGTAAATGGAAGTCACTTGGTCCCTTGTTTTCCAGTGTCTGTGCTCCAAAACAGAGTGGAAGGCATTGGCCCAGGTTAAGGATTATCAGCCACCAACAAACATATGAGGGAGAAATTTTAGGGAGAGAGCTTCCCTAGTGTCCCTGAAGTTCTCACTTTGTCTGAGTCAGGCTGACCTGGAGGAACTCTGATACTTGAGGTGTTAGACATCTTGGGAATGATTTTCAACTTTCATATTAAGAAGCAGATCTAGAGAAGTGTTGCCTTCTCCACCCTGATCCAAATGGGAGCCAACCAGGCTCCAAGGGCTCATTCAACAGCAATAAACAGCACTTTCGGAAGCCAGCAGGGTAGCTCAGCTGTCTGTTATCAGGCACTGCCACAAGAAGTACTCTTATCAGAATGGGAGCTCCTCAAGGTCAAAAGCCTTTGAGGAAGTCTTACCAAGAGTCCAGAGACTGGAGATAGCTACTTGTGCAGTCTGATTTCAGGGACTGGGAAGGAAGCCTGCCCTTCCTACCACCAAACTTGGGGAGGGGGGAAAAAACCAAAACTCTACTCCAATCCTTGAGCTGCTAAAATGCAAATTCCCTGAGGAGAATCACAGAACTTTCAGTACTATGATTTACCTTTCAGTGTGAATGAGTTCCAAACCTATTGTTGGAAATTTTTATCGGAACAGAGAAGGTAGGCCCTGAAGCATATTGGGAAAGGAGCTAATGGTATGGGGTAAGTGGTGGGTGCCAGACAGTGTTAGATACCAGGGTATGTTTTCTCATGTTGGTCTCACAATAACTACGTAGAGTGGGTCTTATCCTGATTGTGTAGATGAGGAAGCTGATGCCTTAAAATAAAACTTTCTGTAATACAATTGTGCTCATTTGTTTACGTGTTGTCTATAATTGCTTTTATTGACAAAACAATATTCTTTCCTGGACTTTTAGAAAAAGAATTGATATGATAAATGGCCAAGGACCAACCGCGCCCCCCCCATGAATCTTTTATTTAAAAAGATCATTGAGGCCGGGCGCGGTGGCTCACGCCTGTAATCCTAGCACTCTGGGAGTGAAGAGGTTATAAAACCTCTTCAGAGATGGGCGGATTGTTTGAGCTCAGAAGTTCGAGACCAGCCTGAGCAAGAGCGAGACCCCGTCTCTACTAAAAATAGAAAGAAATTAATCGGACAACTAAAAATATA